TGAATTAATTTCACGTTTAAAAATAACTGCCAAACATTGTTTCAGATGCGCACAAATATTTGACAAGGTTAGGTTTTAAACCGATAAGCAAATTGAACCAATGGAATTACGAGATCCTCTTAACTTTTGAAAACCCATTCTGTTTATCTTTGGATAAGTAAAAATTGCTTACATGACAAAAAGAGGTGAATTCAGAGTCAGTTATTTTTATTTTCATTGATAGCCTTGAAAAGTGAGTTATCTAAAGATTGAAAAAAAATTCAGGACAGTAGTAAATAAACATATTTTTGGTCTAAGTTTCACACCTAACAACAAAGTGTTCCTTTCTTTCTTCAAAAGCGTATTAAAAAAAGTTTAAAAATCACTTCGTACTTCTGCCACATTATTTTCAATATCCCTCAATTTTTCTTACCTAGTAAAAAATAATACCACAAAAAAAGATAAAGTGGAATAGTTTGAAATTATGTTTAATCAAAACATTTTTATCCAGCCAAGTACACCTATACCGTGAACACCTGTTCTTCGTAAGTGATTAAAAAAAAGGTAAATAACACTGGGAAACAAATTTTTAGTTGCATCTACACAAATACTAGACCTTGCCGAATTCGGGTATGAGGAAAAAGTAACTAACACTGGGAGATAAATTTTTGGTAGCATCTATACAAATACCTGATCTCGCCGAATTCGGGTGTGAGGAGAAAGGCAACTAGCACTGGGAAACAAATTTTTGGTTGCATCTATACAAATACTAGAACTTGTCGAATTCGGGTATGAGGAAAAAGGTAACTAACACTGGGAGATAAATTTTTGGTTGCATCTATACAAATACCTGATCTCGCAGAATTCGGGTGTGAGGAGAAAGGCAACTAGCACTGGGAAACAAATTTTTGGTTGCATCTATACAAATACTAGAACTTGCCGAATTCGGGTATGAGGAAAAATTTAACTAACACTGGGAGATAAATTTTTGGTTGCATCTATACAAATATCTTATCTCGCCGAATTCGGGTGTGAGGAGAAAGGCAACTAGCACTGGGAAACAAATTTTTGGTTGCATCTATACAAATACTAGACCTTGCCGAATTCGGGTATGAGGAAAAAGGTAACTAACACTGGGAGATAAATTTTTGGTTGCATCTATACAAATACCTGATCTCGCCGAATTCGGGTGTGAGGAGAAGGGCAACTGGCACTGGGAAACAAATTTTTGGTTGCATCTATACAAATACTAGAACTTGCCGAATTCGGGTATGAGGAAAAAGGTAACTAGCACTGGGAAACAAATTTTTGGTTGCATCTATACAAATACTAGAACTTGCCGAATTCGGGTATGAGGAAAAAGGTAACTAACACTGGGAGATAAAGTTTTGGTTGCATCTATACAAATACCTGATCTTGCCGAATTCGGGTGTGAGGAAAAAGGTAACTAGCACTGGGAAACAAATTTTTAGTTGCATCTATACGAGTACTAGACTTTGCCAAATTCGGGTATGAGGAAAAAGATAATTAGCACAGGGAAACAAATTTTTGGTTGCATCTATACAAATACATAAATTTGCCGAATTCGGGTGTGAGGATTTCAAATTTGAAATTAAATTTGCTTCTACAGCTACAAAATTTTTAAACATATTTTTAGTCTATTTCTTGTGGATATGTAGTATATGTTTAAGAACGCTATTTATATAACTAGGGGTAGTGTAAATATTATAACGAACTTCCAGCAGAGTTGGGACAAATCATAAGGATTAAAATTGCATAGGAACTCATGCCGGGAAACATCTCTCGCGGCTAGGGGCACATCCCTATTATAACACTGCCTATTAAGCACACGAAGCACTTTTCTATTAAGCACTTCCCTATTTAGCACACGAAGAAACAGAGCTCTTAGCGTCTTACGATGACTTTTCCGTGCATTACCCGGAAATGCCTATTTCTGCTCGATCATAACCTGATTTCTGAGCAATAAATACAAAGAAGTTTGTGAAATATAGCTTAACAGTCTTAAAGAACACACAGGTTGGAACTTTAGGAAATAGAAATTATATTCACCGCTACAATTAAAACTTTCAATGATTAAAATATTTTTCAAATAAATAAACATTTATTTAAATTTATGTATTTTTGTAAGCTATATATCCAATGAAAATTTTGATGAAGGAAACAACATAACAAGAAGGAAGTCTTATTTCAGCATTAAATAAGTGCTCAAAAAAAGTTTTAAATGTTTTCACTTAAGATTAGTTTTATTGGTGATAAAGATTTAGAAATAAAAAAACCAACAACAGACATTCTTAAAACTTTTTCTTTCTAATGTATAACATTTTTGTCTGCAATCAGCTGACAATAAAAGATAACCAGCTCAATGAAGAAAAAAAAATATTTAGGAGAGAAAAAAATAGTTTGGAAAACATTTGTAATTATATAGCAAAAACACTTTCTATAGTATTTGTATTGTTCAAACATGCCTTTTTTATTTTTATATTTGTTCTTGTATATATATTTTATTTTGTATTATACTTTAAGCAATTAGATACATACTTCTATATTCTTAGTGGAAAATGATGTTTTGTTTATACGAAATCCATGCCATTTTGCTAAAGTGGACACACGTGTCAAAAATATTCATGTAGTTTATTGTTAAAAGTTACCGTGGAAAATTTATTTTAATAAATACATCTATCAGGATTAAAAAAAGGAGGAATTAATTCTTTTCTAAATATACAGTCAAACGTAAATACTACTTTTCTAATAATTAATGTTAACGCCTAATACTATTAAAAGTACCTATGTGTACCGTTTTAACAAAACTATTTTATTAACGTGGTTTTATTTACAATTTTATGACCACAATGATTATATANATATATATACATCAAGAATTTTACAGGATTCGAAGGAACACTAAAATACGGCAAAGCCAATCTCATTGTGTAACACTTATGGTTTCTCTGAGTTCTTCCTCCCTCTCTGCAACTGACCATCATTAATAACAGGTGTGTTCTTTTTTTTNTACATTTTTTTTGGTTTTTTTTTTTTTTTTGGGGGGGGGGACTGTTTTGAGTAGTACAATAGTTATCTTTTGGAAGATATGGGTTAATGTCCTCCTAGCTAATGAATCATAAATTCGTTTTTAGTATAATTTTACTGGTATCGGTCTTACTAAATTGCATCTCAACTTATTAAAGGCTCCGCCGACATGAAATGTAGCAACTAATTTGGTAAAAAATTTTCGACCTAAATGTATCATTAAATTTGGGATGGAGTAAGAATTTGCTTTTATCGAAGCCGATGCATATTTGACTTCTGATTAGGGATTTAGTGTAAAATCCTATAGAACTTTGATCACAGTTATGACATAAAATTTCCTTTGTGAGGATACTGAACCAATCAAACTGGAAAAAGATAGCCTGCTCAAAAAATTAATCGGTTCGGGTCAAAATTACGATCTGCGGATGGATGGATGATGTGTAAATGTGTAATCCCTGCAAAACAGACCGTGACGTACGTGAGTAGAATGAGTCGAATTTTAGACCAAAGATGGCGCCACTGGAAAACAATAAGAAGCGCACCCTTCTGTCTTAAAAATGGTTTGTCAGTATTGACAAGTTACATAAGACAACAACAACAATAACGTATGTTTCTTCTGAAGAAAAATCTCGAAACTGGTCATATCGCTTTACTGCACTTTTGCAAGGACATTTTTCCTTTAGTAGTAGCAGCAGTATAACTCTGTAAAGATAGGATGTAATTTGGATGAGATTTTTATTGTGCGCCTGTTTGTGAAGTGGACTCTCCATCCCATCACTTGGGGTACCTGCCGGCGGCAACTAGAGTTAATAGCGATAAGCAATATTGAATATGATTTGAGGCTCTTACTATTTTATATAAATAGCTCAAAACGTAAACATTTATGGGAAAGTTATTTCTTTATGATCATTAATCTAAGAAATTAAATGTATGTCATGCCCACGAGAAAGCATTGCTGGATTTATAATCATTATTTATGTTTAGGATGAAGTAATTAAGAATTTTTTAAATTTAAATTATAGCTAAGACGAGAACTTTTATCCTGTTTTAATTTGGTTGAAAATATATAAATTGTTACTCTTTACACATAGAGTTATATATAATAGATACCATCGTACAAGCCCTTAAAGGCATAAATATTGACTTTAGTGAATCGAAAAATTTGTTTGATCTGGAACTTTAATGCAAACAACTTTAATTTTACTAGAAATATACTTTGAAAATTTGTAAACTTTTCATAAAAGCTCAAACAAAAGCACATGTGCACTAAATATATTGCTCAAAACGTAGTGGTATCATGCTGTCAGGATAAAGTAATCAACTGACGTTAAAAACTAAGTATAAGGCAGAAAAAAATCAACTCTGGTTTGAGTACCGTGGAATCACACTAGTTCACTAAAGAACTTCGGGGTTGTGAGGCCTGTATTTATTAAAAGAACACAGATAGTATGATGAGAAATGGCAAAGTGATTATATAATGAAGTACCATATTAAGGAACTACCAACTGGATGCTTTCGTGTTTTTCTTGCCCATCTAATGCAAGGAAAAGATGTATATTCAATTAAAAATGGAATTTTCTTATATTTATGTTTGAATTAATAATTTGGTTAACATCAGCAGAACAAGGGGAATCAACTATTCGTAAAGGATGACACAAATAGATAAAAAAAAAATCACTATGCATAGTCCAATGTGAAGATTTATCACAATGTGTTAAGAATAATAACATTTAATAATAGCATAGCACTTATTTGATGAGCAATGAATTACAATAATTACGCTCAATTATAACAATCACATTTGATGATTCATTCACGTTGATTTGAAACACTACTGCAAATATATCATTTGAGAGATCTGTAAAGAGTGCTTACAGGCATTATCACTTTGCATTAGAAATGTATGTATGACTGTAATATGTCTCACAATCATTTTTTTTAGATAAATGAAGATATCTACTCATTTTTGTTTCAGACGAAATAAAACTTTATTTTTCATTTATGAAAATACAAAAAAAGACCAATAGATTAATAGTGATGTGAACTTATACATTACTTGCCTAATTAGACTGCTTGTATCTTAAATAGGATTATTGACACTAATGAAAATATATACAAACTGACTAATAATGATAATAAATAATAATCTCAGATCTGTATTAATATTTCATTAGTTCAAAGAGGTGTTGGCTTTGTAATCTTCGCCTGATGATTCATCAGGTACGAATTATGAATTTTTAAGACAATGAATCGTATCGAAATCAACGAAGCTCGCAATGATGCAGTTCTTTATATTTTTCTAAGAATGAATACGTTTCCTTTTTGACCCATTCAATTGCGCAGTATTCAGTATTGTCCCCATCATATTCAGGTGGCAAAATTTCTTTTGGAATGTACTGGTGAAGATGTTTCATATCGCTGCCGTGAAAATGGATCTAGAAAGTAAAAATTACCTAGGGTATGAATTTGGCCTTCGGCAATCTAATACATTCAAATTCGTGAACTCTAAGCTCCGTTTCCTATTTGGATTGCATTATTAAATAGCAACTTAACGACATAAACGTGGCAATGACTTTTGCTTTCCACAAAAACAAAATGGAAATCGTACATAAACCATTTACCCTTGAGAGGTTAATCTATCTCACCACTGCTATCTTTAAAATTCCCACCAATCTGAATTTTAAAATTTTGACTTAACGTTCTGTAGCCATTTTAATCTGTGGTCTCTTGTCATTAAACAGGAATTGATCAACAGTCACCCCAGAGACTCCGTATACAAACTGCTTATATTTTTTAATTTTACTGTAATTTCACGATGAATGGGATATGGGTCTTCTGCGCGGCCCAGATGCCCAGCTTTTGTTAAATAAAGTAAAGTAAGTAAAGAATTGATCAAAATAATTTAAACACCTTCCAAGGAATCGTTAAGACTATATACGGGTTCAACACTGATTGAACTATATGTAAAAATATTCTCGCAGATTATCCTCCGAACCTGCTTCCTATAGCATCCACTATTGAGGTTGATACCATATCAATCTGAATGAATGCTCCAAGCAATATGTATTAGATTTGAGCGAAAATATTTTAATACTGGGAGAAGATTACTGGAAAAAGAGTAAAGAGATCTTGAGTGAAAAAATTCTTCTTGTTCCATTAAATGTCGATTTTCCAGATCAACTTTATTTTATTTTAAAACTGTAACTAAGTGGCATGAAAAAAGAAGTAAATAACAAGCAATGTAAAACAGAAAACAACGCCTCTTTGTGTTTTCTTCAACAAGGATGATTTTTGATTAAAGATTGAGTTCTTATGAAATCTCCTTATTTTAGCTTACTTTTAAGGGGATGATCCATTGTTACTATCTCAAAAAAGAGGTTGGGAGTGATTTTCAACATAGAATTTATAACAGCATAGCAACTTTGGTAATTTTATTCTCTAAAAAAGGGGTGAGGTCCCATTGATTTTTATTTCCATATGTTATACATTCCATATGTTATACAGATACATTAACCTACAAAATGGTATAGTTGGTTTTGTTGAGCAATGATTCCGTTTAGAGAAAAGCTAAATAAAAAATTGCAGATTTTACATTTTTTGAAAGTTTGAATAACTATATCTACTAAAAGTATCGATACCTCTGGAAAGTGCTATGTCACAGAACTTATCGTCATAGTGAATTTTAATATTCAGTAAAGAAATTATTGGGGTGCTGTTGTTCCCCCAATATTTTCAGGGCAGAAAAACACCAAAATACCGAATCTTTTACCAAGTTTGAAAGATAACTCTGAAAAGCAACAATGTTCCATGAAAACGAGTGCATGTCCATAGCTGGGCATATACTAATAACATAACGAAACAAAACTTTAGGGTGTTGTTGCTTTCTTTATATAAATCCCTCAAAACATACTTATATTTAACTTAGAACTTTGAAATTTACATAAATTCTTTTTTCATAACCTACTTTAATATAAAAAATATATAAGAAACAATGGAGAACTTAGAATAAAACAATAATTATCAGAAAATATATTTACCCTTTTTCTTATTTTTTCTTCAACTTAAAAATGTTGAAGAGGTATGAAAAGAAAATTGATTCATTCACTATATGAACATGCTTATATCTGATAGGTAACGTATTCTGAAATTAAAAATAGAATGTTAAATATTTTAACTTTCTGTGTGCAAATAAATGCATTGAAATTAAAGTAGGTGTTTAAAATTAGTTTATCAAACTAATAAAGAGAAATTGAATGAGATAGAATATATGGTTTGCTTTTTTCAAGAGTAATGCTCTATGAACTATTTTTCTGACTATGTTACAAAATTATTTACAAAGTGTGTCAATAGATGGTGGATACCAGAGTTGGCCAAAAATGTAATCGATTACATTTTTTGATTACAGTAATCAATTACTTGTAATCATGATTACAATTTCAAAAATTTTGATTACAGCTGTAATCATGATTACAATATTGATTACAGTAATCAATTACTATTACAACTTTCAAAAATTTTTGATTACAGCTGTAATCATGATTACAATTTTGATTGCAGTAATCAATTACATATAATCATGATTCCAAGTAATTGCGATTACAAGTAATCACAACAAAAACGATTACAAGTAATCATGATTACAAGTAATCAAAATATATGATTACATGTAATCATGATTACATGTAATTTGATTACATGTAATCTAAATACACGATTACAAGACTATTGTATTCGTATAAGTGATTATATTTTACAGTAGATAGTAGAATGTATTTTATAATGATACGTTTTGCACGTATTAACATGTACTGCATTTTGTACGTATTTGTATACGTACAAATGAATGTAACTAAAAAGTATGTACATATGATTTTATCTAGTGCATATGTTCAGACATTTTAGTTTCACACACATGTACATACCCTTAGTACAAA